TCCGATTTTATTGAGCTCAGGATCGACATCATCAGAAGGTTCTAAAAATTGGAGGAACAAATTGTGTGCTTCCACTTCCTCCAGGACACTCACCTTGAGAACTAAATCAGTTTTAACTCCCATCTCAGTGCAAACTGATTGGTCCCGTGATGTAATCAAGACCTTGAAGTCAACATCTTGATTTGGAAAACGTCTTAAACCAATATCTTCCAAATCAACCGGTTGCCATACATCGTCTAGTATTACCAGGAACTTCTTCTTTCCTCCATCTGAATTGTTAGCGAACCATGTACGGAGCTTATCAGTTCTTGCTGGTTTAGTGGTTTCGGTTAGATTTATACCAAGATACTCTGCAACAGCTTGCTGAATAGCAATGGGGTCCGTCTTTTCCCCTATAACTGCCTCAACATAATGATTAAACATTTTCTTTCCTACCACAACCTCCTTCAGCTTCTTCATCATAGTGGTCTTTCCCACTCCACCCATCCCACATAACGCTACCATGTGGGAAATGTGGTTGGGCCCAAGTGCTTCCAGTGCTTTCATAAAAGTCAACTCTGTTGAGCGGAAGTCATTTCGATCACTTGATGTTTTAGAGGTGGACGCCATGATGGAATCAATTCTCCCCACAGGAATTTGTAGTTCAGTCCCTTGAATTTCAGGGCATCGTCCCAGAACACTCTCAATCTCTTTAAATATCTTGAAGGCTTTCCTTCCAAGCTTGTGCCAACTCTTGAGATCGAGACACCCGGGGACTTCACTTGGAAAGTCTGACACCTTTTCATTCATCTGTTTGATTTCTATCAACCAAGGGTCAACCTGTGCAGGAACCTCAAGACGTCTTTCTCTGTTTTGCTTCTTTTGAGATTCCACACCGAGTCTTGCAACATCCAAATCCTTTATTTTGGTGCACATATCCTCCACATATTTTTTGTAAGATACCAGGTAATCGAGTTGTTTTTTAACCGGAACCATAAGAACCTGAACAACTCCTTTCATTATTTCACTAGCAACCTCCATTGTTGGCAATTCTCACTTGTTGTATCACCTACATAAATAGTATAGCTGCAAACTAGTTAATAAAGGGAATTCGATTGAAATCATCAATTGATTTAATTTCCATGCATCCTAAAATCATTTTATTGAGTATGGTTGTATTAGCTTTGGCCCATAGGCACATAATGTAATGGTAACCCATAGAAAGTGCCTTCTCCTAATCTACGGCTAAAACTTTGATCATTTTATACAAAATGATGTTAATAGAAATCAACAAAATGGCTTTTCAATATGTTTAGGATCATTTATTCTAAAAAAAGAAAAATCCAAAAACATATGAAGTTTGAATGATTAAAAGAAGATGAATCTTCAAATGTTTAATTGGTATTAATAGAATATGTGATAAGACCAAATTCAATCCCCCTCTCATTGATACGGGGTGTGTGTGTGTGTGTGTGTGTGTGTGTGTGTGTGTATATATATATATATATATATATATATATATATAGACACACACACACACAAAACCATATTACAGTTGACCACCTCATAATATAACATATAACATAATTAATAAAAACAAAGTATAATAAATTGCTAGTCAAATATACCCCCTCAGCCTAAGGTGGAGTTTCAAAGATGCTTAGACTGGACCGGAAATCGTTAAACAAAACTCATGGGAGGCCCTTCGTGAAGATGTCAGCGAACTGGTATTGGGAGGGCACATGTAACACCCGAATCTGGCGACGTTACACTTTTTCACAAACGAAATGAATGTCGATTTCAATGTGCTTTGTATGTTGATTTTGAATCAGGTTTTGAAAGAGATAAATGGCGCTGACATTGTCACAATAAACCAGTGACGTAAGATTTGGTGGCATACCAAGCTAAAGTAACAGGTTACGCAGCCAACAGATTTCAGCTACGACATTAGCGACCCATATGTATTATGCCTCGGCGCTGGAGCGAGAGATAGTTGTTTGGCGTTTAGAAGACCAAGAGACCAAGTTGTCCCCTAAATAAATGCAATAGCCAGAAGTGGAGCGCCTGGTGTCTGCCCAGTCTGCATCGGTGTAAGAGACGAGGTTGGTTGGGGAGCTCGTAGACATGTGCAATCCCATGCGAACGGTGCCTTTAACATAACGGATAATGCGTTTGAGAGCATCGTAGTGAGCATTTTTTGGGGCGTACATGTGCATGCACACCTGCTGGATAGCATAAGAAATGTCGGGGCCTGGTGAAAGTCAGGTATTGAAGAGCCCTAACAAGGCTACGATAGGTGGAGGGATTATCGATAAGATTGTTTGCGTCACTGCTTAGTTTTCTTGATGTATTAACCGGGGTTTGTACTGGATTGCAGTTCTCCATGTTGGCCCTGGAAATGATTGAAATGATATCCGAGGCATATTTTTCCTGAGAGAGGAACATGCCGGTAACGTCTCACTTGATAGAAATGCCAAGAAAATAGTGTAAGGGTCCGAGGTCTTTCATGGAGAACTCAGATGACAGGCATGAAAATAGCCGGGTGTACAGTGACGTAGAAGAGGCGGTGAAGATGATATCAACCACATAAAGGAGGAGGTATGTTGTATCCGAGCCGTGGCGGTAAATAAAGAGGGAGTGATCGCATGTGCTATGTTGAAAACCAATGGTGGTAACATAGTCAGTGGAACATTGGTACCACACACGGGGTGCTTGTTTTAGACCGTAAAGCGAGCGCTTCAACCTGCAAACATGATTAGGGTGTGTAGAGTCCCGAAACCCAAGAGGTTGGTGCATGAATACTATCTCAGAAAGGTGCCCGTGAAGAAATGCATTCTTTACATCCAGTTGGTTTATGACTCACCGTTTATGTAAAGCAATGCTAAGCACCGTGTGAATGGAAGCCGGTTTTACTACCGGACTAAAAGTTTCATCGCAGTCAATCCCCACTTGTTGTGACCTACCATCACAAACCAAACGCGCCTTGTAGCGCTCTAGTGACCCATCAACTTTAGTTTTGTGCCTAAAAATCCACATGCAACGAATAATATTCATATTTGGATGTCAAGGTACCAAATCCCAAGTATTATTATCGATAAGAGCGTTAAACTCGTCAATCGCGGCATGGTTCCATTCTGGTACAGACATGGCTTCGGTTGGATTGCGGGGTAAGGTAGTTATGGCGGTGGTAGTGGAGGTGTGAAGAGAAGTGGGTTGTTTTGTTTTGGTGATGCCGGACATGCCGCGGGTGGTCATGGTACGAGTTGGTAGAGGAGGAGGGGAGGCAGGAGAAGGCTCAACATGTGTTTGGATAGTAGTCGGTTGAGTGTGAAATGGTCGGCGTCTTGAGTAGGTGTGGAGTAAGGGTGGTGCGCCGACTGTGGTGGAAAGAGGTGGGATCGTAGGTTGGGAGGAAGAAGGTGGGGGCTGCTATAAGGAGAGGAGTGAGGAAGAGTAGGAGGGGATGATATAGTTTGGTCAGTGGGATAAGAAAATGAATCCCAGACGGTAGGATGTAAGTCAGATTGGAGAAAGTTGTATGTTGGTGGAGACGAATGAAGTTTGGGGAATGGGAAGAAATGTTCGTCAAAAAATGACATGTCGTGAGATAATGATTTTACAGGAAGAAAGATCATAGCATTTGTACCCCCTATGATTGGAGGGGTATCCGAGAAACACACAGGGGGACCGGTTTTGAAGTTTGTTGATAGAGGTGAAAGGTGTTAAAGGGAAGCATAAGCACCCGGAGACTTTAAGGTGATCGTATGTGGGGTGATTCCGAAAAAGAAGAAAAGTAGGGGTGGAGTAGTGTTTAGTTTTCTGTGGAAGTATGTTGAGAATGTATGTGGCCATTTGAAGGGCATGGTGCCAAAAGAAGATGGGCAAAGAGGTGTGAGAAAGGAGGGTGCGAACCATGTTGTTAATTGTGCGAATGGTTCTTTCGGATTTTCCATTTTGAGGTGATATGTGAGGGCAAGAGAATCGGAAATCCATGTCGTTGGATGTATAGAAATTGTGAAAGAATTGGTTGATGTATTCTGTGCCGTTATCACATTGAAAGGTTTTTATTGCGCGTTCAAATTGAGTGGTGATATGTTAGTGAAAAGCAAGAAAGATGGAGAAAACTTATGATTTGTTAGACGGGGGAAAAGTCCATAGGTAATTTGTGAAATCATCAATAAACAAGTCATAATAGCGGTGACCTCCCGAACTAAGCACGGGGGAGGTCCAAAGATCACTAGACAATATCAAAAGGTAAACATGAAAAAGTTGTAGAAGCATAAAAAGGTGATTTATTTGTTTTCCAAGCACACAAGACTGACATATGTTTTTATTGGAAAAAGAATGAACAGAAATAAAATTGTTTTTATTCAAAATGCGTAAAGAAGAGGAATCGGGATGTCCCAAACGACGGTGCCAAAGGTCTTGAGACAGGGCTGCAAAAGCAAACGGGCTAATAACTTGTGCATTTGGTTGTGTGAGAGGGTAGAGATATCCGGTGCTATCACATCGCAGGATAGGAATCTGCGTACGGTAATCCTTCACAAGTAAACCAAAATGGTCAAATTCGGCAACGGAATTATCTGTTGTAAGGCGACGAATAGATAACAAGTTTTTAATAAGATGAGGAGCATGTAAGATATTATAGAGTTTGAGAGGAGGGAAGGGAAGTGGAAGTGTGGTGTGTCCAGAGTCATGTGTCGGAATGTGAGAGCCATTGCCAACAACGATATGGTTTGGTCTGCTATTATAGAAATAAGTTGAGATTTTACCTGTTGTGTTTACCATGTGATTTATCGCACCCGTGTCAGCATACTAGTTGGGGTTGGGGTTGAGTTTCATGGTATGCATGACTTGCTCGATGTTGGTAGGGGTATACGAAGCTTCCGAGCTGTAAGAATGTGCCGGAGAAGGTCCGAGAATGCCGGCGGCAGGAGGGCGTGTCATCGGGTATCGCTGCTGTGGTGCAGTGGGATAAGGAACTGGTGGAGTGGTCCATGTTGGTGCATTCCAGGAATACCATGGAGGTTGTTGGGAGTAGGAGAAACCGCGCCCATGTCCGTGTCCCCGTCCTCGTCCTCTACCCCGTCCACCTCGACCCCGTCCACGATAAGATCCATCCGAATGGCCCTGACCTGAGGACCGGGGCTGTTGCGAATGAGAATATGGTCCGCTGTCCCGCTGATCAGAGAAGGTTGTGTTGGCGATGTTCGTTGCTGGTGCGGTGATGGAGGTAGTGAGGGCGGTGACGGGTGGGTTATGCAACGATTTTCTGGTTTCCTCGAGACAAAGTTTAGCGCGGGCAGTGTAGAAGTCGGGTAGTGGAGTGGATTGTTAGAGAAGAATGGCGATGCTGTCGTATTGATCCAAGAGACCGGAGATAAGTTGTAGAACAAGCCGCTGATTGTCTAAAAGAGCCTCGACATTAGTTAGCTGATCAGAGAGATTTTTGACTTCTTGGCAATATGCTGCCATATTAGAAAAGTTTTCGAGCTTGACATTTGCGAATTTCTGGTGAAGGTGGAGGCACAAGCCGGTTTGCTGTCTATAAAGATGTTTTCAATCGCCTTCCAGGCGGCGGCAGAAGTGGTTCCTGGTGAGAGAATGGTTATGAGGAGATCTTTAGAAATCGTCCCGTATATCCATTGTAACACAATGGCATCCACACGTGACCACTGTTCATCGGCTTTAGGATCTTTTTCTTTGGCTGAAGTAGATGAAGCAGAGAACCTGAAACGCACGGCAATGTATCTTGAAAAGTTCAAGATGTGTATTGGCTGTCATCCGTATCAAGGAGGATTGGTATGTAACTCTTGATGTTCGTGACAGTGACTGCGGGGTGAAGGGGGGCTGTCGGCCTGTCATTAGAGAGTGGTGGAGGTGATCAGAAGAAGAAGAACGAGAAGAGAGGGAGAGAGGCGATTAGGGTTAGCGCCAATTAGGACACTACTAGAAACTTGAGTTTCAGCTACGGATTTTGCTACAGATTTGTTCTCTAGCAAAATTTAGACTTATAGCTAGGGAATTACGACAGATGTACCATGTTTTTGATATGTTTTTTATAGTTATTTTATTTATTTAACATGTGGAATATTAGTGAGGATTTACCGAGGGATCAGCTACGGATCTCGCAAGTATTTATCGATGCACCACTATCCCTCGCTAATCAGTCGAAAAATGAAGGGCCTTAGCTAGGGTTCAACGAGCGATAAAAAATTGCGCCAGCTGGTACGCGTTTAGCGAGAGAACGTCGACGGAAACTATATTTTGGGTACGTGCGTTTTGTTTTTTCTATCGCCAATCTCTAGCTGAAATTGGCACAACCCAGTTCCATCTTCACGAAATGCATTGAAAATTCTGGTACGCGTTTCCTTCCCTCCAGCTTTATCACTCTAGACTCTCTGGACATGATTTTTGAACAGATGACGGCATAGAAGTTCCCTTCAATCTGTTAACCCAATTCCATCTCACAATCTCTGTTTGAGCAGATGACGGCACTACTCACCCGATTCCGGCAACCTCCACATTTTTAAAGCTGAAAGTATTCTTCGTTAACTTTCCGATTCAGGTAAATCTCATCCCTCTTAGGTTAGTTTTAGTTCAATTGCACAATATACTTTGTTAGGGTTTAATTTCTCATTTTTTCTTTTTCAATCGATGTCCCTCTTATCTCTCAGCATTATATACATGAATCACCTTGAAAGTTAGAATTAAAACTTGATTTAGGGCTTGATTCATCATAGTTTGTCATCCAATTTATGAGAATTTAAGGATTGAGGAACACCAGTAGCCAATACCTTTAGGTTTTCCCCAATTCTCTTTCATATTTAGGAGGTGGTCTCTCTGATAAGTCCTTTTCCCTTTTGAGGTCTTGAAGTTGATGTGGTCTCTCTGATAAGTCCTATTCCCTTATGAGGTCTTGAAGTTGATGTGGTCTTGAATCATGATGCTGACTTCTACTGCCAGTTGCTGCTTCACTTGGAGCCATGTTAAGGCCAGTGGTACTTGTCACAGGAGCAGCAGCAGCATATACAGATTTTGAAGCCAACACTCTCATCTTCATGCATCTATCTCTCATCAAACCATGTTTCATCTTATGCCCTTGCATCCACACATTTTCACAGATCCTCTCAAGGGCACAGAATCATAATCTTCTTCTTCTACTTCATAGAAAATTACCAAAATACCCCCCGAAAGACTTGTTATAGGATGCTCACAGGTTCATCATCTGATTCTGATGTTTGCAAACACTCTTCTGGATTGGCATAAAAGTAATCTTCTTCTTTGGGTTTATTTGAAATAACCAATCTTTTTGTGGGATTTCCCAATCTTTCTTGATGAACTTGTTTTACGGAAATGGAAAATTCATCCCAATTTAAAATTCCATTTGTGTATTTGTCTATTAAATCCACCAAAAGTCTCTTATCCAATAGAATTGTCTTCTTGAATCCCAAAAATCTGAAAAACCATTTTCACATAATTAATTAGCTTCATTTCAATTCCAAGATAGTGTTTTGTTTGCAACAAAGGAATGGAATATGATATGTTATAAATAAATTCACAATTATGAATTAGTTTTATTTGTATATATATCTTTAATAATACCACTTCCACTTGTGTTTTTAAAAAATTTCAAAACTTTAATTTATTAATTTTTACTTTACAAAAGTAGGTAGAAGTATTTTTTAATATTATAATTCTATTTCAAGATTTCATGGTATGTGATCTTACATTTTTTTGTTAACAATTTTATTACATTTTTTGTTAACATTTTTTTGTTAACAATTTGGGATTCTATAACAGTTAGCTTAAAATGTTTTGTTTCTTTTTTGGACTGAATGAATTGTTTGAATAAAATAAATGACCAATTTACCCTCTGTCAATAAGTGATGTCTTTCGATTACCTTTTCATATGAGGTTTTACCAACCAACCTATTAATATTGTGTTAATATACAGGGAAAGTGTTTGAGTTTGACAATTTGTCAAATGTCTTAAATACCCTTTGAAAATGAGAAGACAGGGGAGTGTTTGGGATATATCACCAAACTTACTGTGAGTTCATGTTGTTGTTTCCACCACCTTCATTTCTTTTCACTTCTGATACAAATTCAAATTATAAAAATCAATGCTTTTTTATGTGGCATAAATTAAAATTAGTGAAGAAAATAAATAAATCCAATTACCATATCTTCTGGAGTCAATGCTGGAATCACTTTCCCCTGATGATGATGGATTTCTTGATGGAGTTCGTGTGCTGGAATCTGAATTTATGATTGCATTATCATCAGCAGAACTATCATCACTGTTATCCCCAAATATTGTTCCAGGTGTACCCAAATATTGTTCCAGGTGCACATTTTTCTTCATGTTTTTAATCTTTTTTTGACTTTTCAAAGACCTGCCAAATGATTCTGATTCTGAGCTTGAGTCCGATTCACTAAATGATTCTTAATATTTGTTGTCATTTTTTGGGTTTTTACTTTAGTAACATTAGGGGCATTTTGGTCTTTTGCTACACCTCCATCTGTAGAAGCTTCTGGAATCTTCTTTGAGGACAAGGCTTTGTTGTTTTCATCTTTTTGTTGAATAAAATATAAAATTTTATGATGCAAAATAAAAATATGACACATACCAAGCATCTAGTTGTACAAAACCTTATATCAATATACATATATAATATTTTAATATGAATAAATGATATTAGTAAAAACCTGCAATAATTTCTCTCCATTTGGATCCGGATCAACCGTCTTAACATTTCTTTTCCCATATTTGGAAACACCAACATTAGCTTCCTCATTCTTCACTTCCGCCTCCTGAACAACCATTAAAACATATATATATATATATATATATATATATATATATATATATATATATATATATATATATATGTCATGCACAAGGGCAAAACCGTAAAATCACATGAAAAACAAAATATACCTTTTTTGCCCTTGCTTCAGCCTTCCTCTGTTTTCGCCTCAGTTTCTTCTTTTGTGAAGCAGGCATTTTTGCCAGCTCATCATTTTCTTCAGTTGATGATGTCGGAGGAAAATCATACAACTTGATATAACATCTGTATAACAACATTAACTAAAAAAAATTAGGTACAAGAAATTAAAATATATAAAAAATTATTTTTTTGAAAAGATTGTATAGTATTACATTAGATAACAAAAGATATGCAAATGACACTTTAGGTCCCTGTAGTTTTAATATTCCGGAATTATATTTTTAGTCCCTGTAGCTTTAAATTTCAGGAATTACACTTTTGGTCACTATGAAAGTGGGAAATAAGCAAAAGACACTTTTGGTTCCTATAGTTTTAGTTTTCCAGAATTATATTTTTGGTCCCTAAAGTTTATAGTTTGCGGGAATTACATTTCTGGTCCTTGTAGTTTATTTTTACAAAATTACATTTTTAGTCCCTGTAGTTTTTAATTTGCAAAAGTTAAATTTCTGGTCCCTGAAGTTTTAAATTTCTGGAATTACAATTTTGGTCACTATGAAAGAGGGAAATAAGCAAGACACTTTTGGTCCCTATAGTTCTAGTTTTCCAGAATTATCTTTTTGGTCCCTGAAGCTTTTAGTTTGCAGGAATTACAATTCTTGTCCCTGTAGTTTTAATTTTCCAAAATTACATTTTTAGTCGCTATAGTTTTTGGATATGATTGCATAGTTATAATAAAAATAAGTATTTCATATAGTATAATTGTAGTTTCCAAGGATGCTTTTAGTAATATGGATATGATTGCATTATCTAATTTCTAAATAGTAGTTATATATTTGGTTGTAGCTAGTCATTATGTCAACACGTAGTGATAGAGACTGGATGTACAAAAGGTTAGATCATGGGTATCTTAGCACAACATATCATGCATCCGTCAAAGGATTTCTAGATGTTGCTTTTCTAATGAAGCAACCGTTGATGGGGATTATATTAGATGTCCTTGTTCTAAATGCAAGAACATGTATTATAAAACAAGAGGTGATGTAGAGCTTCACTTGTTACAAAACGGTTTCACTCCTAATTACACAACTTGGTGGGCACATGGTGAAAGAAATACGATATCTCAGCATGAGGAAGAATCTTCTAATCCGATGCAGGATCCGATGGAAGATGATGATGATGATGATGTTAATGGGTGTACACAAATGTTGATGGATATAATGGAGGAACTCCCGAATCCAACTGCCAAGGGGTTCTATGATATGTTGGAAGACGCTGATGAACCTTTGTGGGATGGATGTGAAAATTATTCAAAATTACAAGCTGCAACAGAGTTGTTGCATTGGAAGTCAGAATACAATATATCTGAGGCTGCCTATGATCACATACTTCCTATAATTAAGCGGATGCTACCCAAAGGTGAGAAACTAGTTGAGAAACTAGTTGTAATTAAGTGTTTTGTAAGTAGTAATCAACTTTATGTAAGGTTTGAGTATTAATTAATAGGAGGCTTATGAAGTGGTTCATTCCATTCCTTGATTATGAATTTAATGGAATGGAATGAACCATTCCATTCCTTATTTCATGTTTATGTTTTTTCATATTTTTTTTGCTATAATAGGAGGCTTATGAAAGTGCTATGGTGGCTAAGTTTGGTGATGATACTAGTTGCCACCCCCTTTTGGATAATGAAACATGGTGTGATGTTTCCGGAGGAGTCAAGAAAGGAAGAATATATGGATTCGGATCTGTGTTTGATCCAGCGAGCTTTTTGGAAGGAACATCTAGTACAATAACATCCCAAGAGGTTCGTTTAATTTTGTACTTTATAAAAATTTCCTATCATGGCATTGTACTTACAAAGTTTCCTATCATGGTATTGTACTTACAAAGTTTCCTATCATGGCATTGTACTTACAAAGTTTCCTATCATGGCATTGTACTTACAAAGTTTTCTATCATGGTATTGTACTTACAAAGTTTCCTATCATGGCATTGTACTTACAAAGTTTTCTATCATTGTCCTTTAGGTTGTCTATGAACGTGTACGAAACGAGATGCGTGGGGAAATGGATGCTAAAGCTGCAGAAATGGAAGCTAAACATCAACAAATGCGTGAGGAAATGGATGCCAAAGCTGCAGCAATAGATGCCAAACAACAACAAATTGATGCAAAATATGAAGCAATGGAGAAGATGTATGCAACCTTGCAAAATATGATGGGAAATTGAAAATTAGAGGTAATATGATGTTAACCATTAATATTTGATGTTTTTGAATGACTTGTTAACCTTTTGTATTTGATACTTTTGATTGTTTTGAATAATGTTTTATAGGAATGAGAACCGAAGATGATTGGATGGACATGAAATGAAGAGAGCAGCTAAAATGTTATTTTGAAGTTATGTTTTGTGAAAACTCATTTCCCGATGCATACTTTGGATTTCTTGGTGCTAAAATGTTATTTTGAAGGTTAAACTTTTTTTTTGTTTGTACCTCTTTTGCATACTTTGGATTTCTTGGTGCTAAAATGTTATTTTGAAGTTAAACCTTTGGGAGTTTGATGTTATATGGATAGTTTTGGTTTTGGATGTTTTTTGAATGATATTTTGGTAAACTTTGATAGTTTTGGTATTGTAATGTTTGGTTGTATTGTTATTCGATGTATTTTAGTATAAAAATTTGATGATTGTAGTATTTTTTTTCTTTTAGAATCATAAAAAAATATATTACAAGTTCGCGACGGATTGGTGAGAATAAAAAAAGTATTTTAATGCATCAGTTTTGCGAGGGATTAGCTACGAAAAAAATATCATGTCTAAAGTTTGCGACGGATCAGCGACGGAACAAAAAAAATTAATGTATAAATTTTGCAAGAGATTAGCTATGGAAAAAACCATGTCTAAAGCTTGCGACAGAGCAGCGACGGAAAAAAAAAATCAGTATATGAATTTTGCAAGGGATTTGCTACGGAAAAAAAAACTGTTCACGGAAATTTGCGACAGAACAGCGACAGAATGACTTTATCAAATTTTGTCGCTAATGCCCTGAGTAAATGTATTGAGTGACATTTAGCGACGGATATTCTGTCGCTACATTTGTCGCAAGAAAAAACCTCTCCGTCGCTAAAACCCTTGCTGAGAAATTAGCCACCTATTAATTACCTATGGAGTGAATCCGTCGCTGATCCATCGCAAACAACATTTAGCGACGGAATAGCGACGGATACTTCCGTCTCTAAAACCCATGTTTCTAGTAGTGGGAAGGGACGTAATATGTCTCTGATACCATAATAGAATATGTGATAAGGCCAAACTCAATCCCCCTCTCATTGATACGGTGTATATATACAAAACCATATTACAGTTGACCACCTCATAATATAACATATAACATAATTAATAAAAACATAGTATAATAAATTGCTAGTCTAATAGTTATTATATAAATGTAAAGATAAACAAAATATAAAAATATGACGCTGTGATAAGCTGAGGCCACAATGATAACCGACTTTTATACTAGCTTTGGTTCTTTGATATTTATATTGAAACAGAGTTTGTCAAAGTCATTATTTGCACTTAAAATCTCTCTCATCATCCAGGTTAAAATGAAAAACACCCATGTTAATGACCATTACCATGTCTGAGTCTATGTCTACCCAAGAATATTATCCAGATACAACATTTTCAAAGTTTTAGTTGGGCAGATTTTGCAATGTATTGTCCTAACAAAAAAAAAATTGAAACTGTAATGATATAATGGGATAGATTTTGCAGAGTAAAATGCATTACTATGAAAAAAAAATTAAAGTACAATGCCTTAATATGGAAAATGAAAATTGAAAATACAATCTTAAAATAAAAGTAAGATGTTATATACTTATATTACACACATGAATGATACTATGTTGCTATTTATTGCATTCAACACTTTTTATGTTTATCAACCAACATTGAAGAACTTTTACACGTTGATGACATTGAAAAGAGTCATTCTACATAACACCAAACATTGCTGTGCAAGTACACTGAACATCCGAGATCATTTTAAATCATGATTCATGGGCTCACCAATTGTTCACTTTCTCACCTAACAACGTTAGATGGGCTCACCACTAGAATTCCTAACCATTCGCGCATGTCGTAGCGGATCCATGGAAAAGAGTAATTTAAAAAAAAAAAAGTAAAATGTTGATATTTTTTCAGAAACCTTTCCATTTTGTAGTTAAATAATTAATTTATTAACAAATAACAAGCCAATTAACAATCCCAATTAATATAAAATTTAAGCTAAGAAATACGGAGTAACAAATAATTAACAATTAAAACTAATAAATAATAATTAAAATAAGAAAAATAATGTTTCCATGTTAGCTTCTTCATTTACCTAAAATTTAGAAAATCACAAATACTTGACGCTTAAAACTAATAAAATAACAATAAATATTAATAAAATATAAATAAACAATAAAACTAACAAATATGAACAAGTAATAATAACAATTACCTCAATGTTTTTTTACTCGCTACAGGGAGATGAGAGAGAGGCCAACAGCAGGGAAATGGAGTTCTCTCTTCAGGGGTTTAGCAGTGAAAATCGACAGCTGTGAGAGAGAGAGAGAGAGAGAGAGAGAGAGAGAGAGAGAAAAGGAGAAAGATATAAATAACAGAAATATGTGGCTATAGACTAAGAAGAGAAAAATTATTTTCTAAAACTTTAAGAAGGGCAATCCAAATGGGCCAGCTGTATGTATGTAGCAAGGGCTAATGCCGACTCTTTAATCTTTTATGAAATATTCAGTTTTATCTTTATGCATGTTTTGGATTTATTAAAGCCATAAGTTTGCATAAATTTTTATACATTTGTCATTTTAGCAGTTATGTGGTTACCTGTCAGTTGTTTATACACATGCCACGCCAAGTCGATGCTAATTGGGCTGACATAGCACTGACATCAGCATGTTTCATCTACCTTTAAAAAACCGAATATGGATATGGGAGAGAACTGGGACTACCCAGCAACCTCCCACTCACAAACAAACCAACCTACCACACCACTAAACTCGAGTAACTTTTAGGCGAAGCGGTATGGGGGCATCAGAAGACGTGTAGAGCTGAGGTGGCAAGGCACCCTACACGTGAACACCGTCCCAGGTACCCATAGGTGCCTTGTGGCGTGGCTTGGGCGAAGATGGAGAATCTGATTGTTTGATGGGTTTTTACTGTTTTCCTCCTTTTCCTTTTGAACGTTGTACTCACTGGAAATAAAAAAAAATAATAATAAATTCAAATTAAAAGTTAACATATATATATATATATATATATAATATATATATATATATATATATATATATATATATAAACATACACTCTAAATTTAAACAAACACATTTTCAAACACACTTTCAAACATAAATATGAATAATTTTGCTGGTTCGATTTCTAATGATGATGATGATGACGACTCTGATGATGACTTGGTGTTGCACACGTTGTTGTCTGCGGCACGTGAAAGGGTGCGACAAAGTGACGGAAGTTCAAATGCCGAGAAGAAGCATAGAATTTTGATAAATCGGGATCGTATCGCGGCACACGAACTTTTGGTACATGATTACTTTGCCCCTGATACTTTGTACGACCTATCAAAATTTGAAGAACGATTCCGTATTAGTAGAAATTTATTTTTACATATAGCTAGAGATTTGGAAAACAATCATGAGTTTTTCTAATTGAGATGGGATGCTAGAGGTAAACATGGTTTTAGTACAATACAAAAATGCACAACAGCTCTTAGACAATTGGCATACGGCATAGCCACAGACGCGTCAAATGAGTATTTGAAAATGTCTGAGAGGACTGGTCGAGAATGTGCTTATTTTTTTTGTGAGTATGTTATAGAGCTTTATAGTGACATATACTTGCGACATCCAACTAGAAATGATGTCGAACAGTTGTATGCCGCACATGAATCTAAACATGGCTTTCCAGGAATGCTTGGCAACATTGATTGTACACATTGGGAGTGGGCAAATTGTCCCGATGCATGGCGAGGTCAATTCACACGAGGTGATCATGGCGTGCCGACTGTTATACTAGAGGTCGCTGTTTCACATGTCCTATGGTTTTGGCATGCATTCTTTGGTATGACAGGTCAAACAACGACCTGAATGTGCTTAGAGCGTCTCCGATATTTAACGATATTCTGCAGGGTAAAACACCAAACACGTTGTTGATTGTGAAAGAACATCAATATAATCATGGGTATTAGCTTGGTGATGGAATATATCCAGAGCACACTACGTTTGTCAAGCGTACTCATTTTCGGCCGATGAAAAACGAAAATTGTTCAAGTTAGCACTAGAATCTGCAATGAAGGATGTGGAACGGGCGTTTAGGGTCCTCAAACAAAAGTGACACATTATCAAACATCCGGCACGGTCATGAGATAGGATAAAATTGACGAATGTGTTGACTGCTTGTGTTATTTTACATAACATGATAATAGAAGAAGAGGGTAGGGCTATTTGTATGTATACTCTAGACGATATGCTTAATCCACCTGCAGTAATACAAGTAGGTAGTCCGACATACTTCACAAGACTTTTGAAAATACAAAACAGTGAAACACATCACAATCTACGTTATGATTTGACTGAGCATATATGGAAAAGGTAATTCCAACAACACGATGTCAATGACGACGATGAGAATGAGGACGCGGATGACGAAAACGGGTCGGTGGCGACGAGGACGACAAGGACAACGAGTAATATTTTCTGTGTTTTTTATAGTAATTTAGGTTTTACATGTTTATGTTTTTTGAAGTAATTTGGAATTTAAATTTTTGGTTTTTAATTAATGTAAAATGTTTTTAATTAATATTTATGTTTTTATTTTTGTTTAATAATTATTTTTTAATTTATTCTAATGTAAAAAATAATGTGGAGTGTTAACCATTTCCAAGAGTTAGTGGTTTGGTAGTGGGTTTTTAGTGGAGCTGAAATGACTATGATGTGACATTACTTTTTAAGTGGGTTGAGTGTGACCATACCCCTTAGTCTTATGTTTTCATTCCTGAAATTCAATATATATTCAATAATTGAAAAACTTTAAATATAATTTGAATTATTATTATTATTATTATTATTATTATACATATAATTATGTTTTTTGATGTATAAAATACGCTTTGTATAAATATGTTTTTAAATGTATAAAATATGCTTGGTGATGTATAAATATGTTTAATGTATTAAAAAGTTGTATTTATAGGAATTTAACAGGTATAAATATCTATTTATTTTTTTATAAAAACATATTGTATATGTATTATACATATAATTAATTCCCATTTTGGGTTATCCTAAAATGCACCAGATAAATTCAATTTATAACTATCATGTGTGAGCCTACAACACAAAGTAAGTGATGGTTAAATGGTTAACATTTTGTGTCACTTCCAATTCCATAGACAATGGTTTGAATTTCACTGTCTGCATTTATTCACTTTTTACTTCTCTTTCTATTTTTGAAAATACACCCTTTTATGTTCTCATTTTTTACGGTTTTGGCCCAACTTTTTTTACTAAATTCGTTTTTTAACTTAATTAGTATTTTTTTTAGGATTTTGTTTTTTCAAAAATTTGCATTTTTTTCCTTTTTTTTGTGAACATTTTTTTTTTACAATTTAACACACAACTTCTAAAAAAAATTCAATAGAAATTACAATTTAACACACCACTTCCAAAAAAGTTCAATACAAATTGTTTCGCAACAACATACGTATGTATTACCCTTATTATCCTAAAATTATGAAAGGACCATGAAAATCTTCTATATCTAACTTTTCATTGAGTTGTGGATAAAGTTTTTCCGATAATTTTTGATAATTTTTGTAAAATCTGTTATATATTTATCCCACTGACATAATTGCAAAAATGGTTCACGTGGTTTCTTATTTTTATGTGGTTAAGGTCCAAACATTTGAAAAGTTATGGTTTTAGTCCCTCGTCCTTTAACTTTAACAGTTTGGTTGTTAACTTTTTTAAAATTACTATTTTACCCTCAGGGACCATTTCTGCAACTAAACTACAAGGTCCATTTCTATGTATCTTCTTTTTATTTTTATTAAATTATTATATATTAATAAATTTTATTTTTAATATATACTGTTTATATATAATAAATATTATTTTAACAGATTATTAATTTCTTTTAATTAATTTCTTTTTAATTTCTTTGTTATCGGATATTTTAATTGGATTATTATATATGAATAAATATTATTTTTAATATATAATATTTATATATTAATAAATATTATTATATTAGATTATTAATTTATTTTAGTTAATTGTGTTTATTGGAATAATCATTTTTATTGGATTATTATATATTAATAAATATTATTTTTAATTTATAATATTTATATCCTAATAAATAATAAATTATCAGATTATTAATTTCTTTTAGTTAAAATTTTTAATTCCTTTCTTTTTTTATTAATTCTTTTTTATTGGAACATTACTTTTAATTTATTATTTTCTTTATATAATAAATATTATATACTATATTATTAATTTATTTTTATTGTATGATATTAATTCTTTTGAATTTGATTAGTTTCACCACAAAGCTGTTGGAATACGCAAAAACGCCGCCTCTCATCAACGAAAATTGTTGGGATCACCGCCAAACACCTTCATCGGAGATTCGACGTAAACCACACTAACTTTTTCCATCCTACATCACCGGTAGCCACCTACGACAACCTCTTCACAATCCATTGGAATCCTTCATATCTCACACAATGTGCAACAAATCCCTATAAACATTAAAAGTGGTTGTAACATCCGGTTTCCAAGTATTTACACTTTCGGTCCTTGTGTCAAGATTTATTGTATTTTAGTTGTATGTTGGGCGTACGTAAGGTACGCGTAGTGTACCGGATTGAGACATAGAATACGGGACTCTCCCTAGGATACTTGTTGACAATGTGGTATGTCGGGTGTATTAGTTCAGACCTTAAACCCTAAATTTTAGGGCTTGTTCCCTATTTAAACAACCTTATACCTCCCATGGACCTTCTAGAGACAACCTCCACTCCTTCCAAACCCTAATCTAGAGTCTTATCCTTGTGTGTGAAGATTTGAAGCTTTTGGTGATTTTGGTGCTTTCTTGTTGAAAAAGAAGTCCATTGAAGAAGGTGGTGTTGCATGCAAGTGTAACACCTGATTCCTGGTATGCCTATTATTCAAATATTTTGTGTTCTTCTCTGGGACTCGACGAGTTGGAGGCCCAACTCGTCGAGTAGAGGCGTGACATGCAGATAGTTTAAGTGACCTACTCGACAGTCGGGGGACCGACTCGGCGAGTAGGTGCTGGTTGAGTGAAACCCTAAATATGAGGGTTTGCACCCTATTTAAACACCTTATCTCAGCCTCCATCACCCTTATCACTCCCAGAAAGCTGTGTATCGAAACCCTAACCGTTTTTGTGTGTTCTAAGGCCATTTTGACACATTTGGTGGTTTGTGAAGCTTAAAGAAGAAAGAAGCTTGAGAGTTTGAGTTGGGGCTTAGAGATTCAGAGATCTAGTTCCATTTTCAGCACAACC